TTTTTTTTTAAAAAAAGAAAGAAACATCATGAGAGAGAATCATGGATCAGCTGCCTCCTGCATGCCCCCTACTGGGGACTGAGCCCACAACCTGGGCATGTGCCCTGATCGGGAATAGAACCCTGACCTCCTGGTTCATAGGTCGACGCTCAACCCCTGAGCCATGTGCTGGGCAGGCAAAAATATTTACGTTTCTCATAACAGCCTTGAGCTTTGACTTACATCCTCTCTTGAGTCTCGCCGACCCTAGAAGCAGGTGGAAAATGGATAAATGCGGGTCAGATGTGCGTTAGGGACAATGGACCTAGTTCGGACGTCACGATGGTCCAGGGTAACCTCCAGGGGCCCCGTGGGGACGTCTTGATGGAAGTGGGAAGCGCACTGAGGTTTAGTTTTCCTCTGTCTGTTTTTTCCAACAGGGCAGCGTCCGTACCAGGTGATCACGGCCCGCGTGCACCCGGGAGAAAGCAACGCCAGTTGGGTGATGAAGGGCGCCTTGGAGTTCCTGGTCAGCAGTGACCCCGGGGCCCGGCTCCTGAGGGAAAACTTCATCTTCAAGATCATCCCCATGCTCAACCCCGATGGGGTCGTCAATGGCAAGTACGTGGGGCGCTGGCCCCACCGCCCTCGCGTTGATGTTGCCATAGTAACACATTTTTGGGTTCATCCGATGGGGGGCGTGATCGGAGGAGGCCTGGCAGGCACACCTTCTCCTGGGCTTTTGATGCTTGGTACAAAACACTATCTGTTCTTCACTGATGTGGTCTCATAGTTTTTTATTATAAAATATATTTTTATTGATTTCAGAGAGGAAGGGAGAGAGAGAGAGAGATAGACACGTCAATGATGAGAGAGAATCATGGACTGGCTGCCTCCTGCACGCTCCCTACTGTTGGAGGGATGATGCCTGCAACCTGGGCAGGCAGGTGCCCTGACCGGGAATCGAAATGAGACCTCCTGGTTCATAGGTCGACGCTCAACCATTGACCCACACCGGCCGGGCTGTCTCAGAGCTTTTTAAAGAGAAAGGTATATTGCTCCATAGGCAGTTCATGCCAAAGGGGTCCTTAGACATCATTCCGTTCCACACTTTTCTATTAAAAGGGAGAAAACCGGAGTCCAGGGTAATCCAGTGACTTGCCCAGGTGCATGGTGGGTGAGGGGCGGAGTCCGGGCTCACAATGTAGTTTCCGCACGGGTCAGCCAATGCTTTCCTTGACGTCCTTAACCTTTACTGCAGAGAAATCTTGATTGTCAGTTGCATTCGATGGCAGTTTGGATACAGCTATAGCAAGGGTGTCGCCTTAACTAAACGGGGTGGCTGAAGTGGTGAACAATGGCTGTGGAGTGGTTGGGAGTGAAGTGACTGAGAAACGGCTGGAGGAGAGACCTGTGTAGCGTTTCTCCTGTCAGGACATCACCTGCCTTCAGAGCGGGCGGCGGGGACGATGAACCCAGTGTCTCTGAGGCCTGTTGGAAGAGGGTCCACATTTTATTTTTTTAAATATATTTTTATTGATGTCAGAGAGGAAGGGAGAGGGAGAGAGAGAGAGAAACATCCATGATGAGAGAGAATCATGGATCGGCTGCCTCCTGCACGCCCCCTACTGGGGATCGAGCCCACAACCCCCGCATGTGCCCTTGACGGGGAATCGAACCGTGACCTCCTGGTTCCTAGGTCAACGCTCAACCACTGAGCCACACTGGCCGGGCTGATGTGGCCTCAGTCACTGAACTTCCTCCTGGCTCGGCCACATGCCTCAGGCTCCCCCATGCACGGCAGGCCAGCTTCTTCTCAGTGACAATGCCGTTCATCATCACTGCCGCTGTTGATTATGATTAAAATGACCCTATTTAGGTAGAGAGCATCTTTCATCACACAGCGTCCAGGAACCGCGCAGGTCCCTCGGGTCACCCAAACCATTTTGGCCGAGAGGGACTTGGAAATCCTAGCGTTCTGTTACGGAGAGGAGAACCCACAGGGAATGACAACATCATCACCCAAAGGCAGTGGTTCTCAACCTTGGCTGCCCATGAGCATCACCTGGGAATCTTTCTAAAATCCCGATTTCTGGGCCTCATCCTCCGGAAATTCTGTTTCTCTGTTACTCATGTTGTGGCCCCACCCCATAACAAAGAAACAGAATTTCCTGAGGATGAGGCCCAGAAATCAGGATTATTTTTTTTTTATTGCTTAAAGTATTACAAAGGGTATTACATATGTGTCCTTTTTTTCCCCCCCCGCCCTTGACAATCCCCTGGCCTCCCTTACCCCCCAGTGTCTTATGTCCATTGGTTATGCTTATATGCATGCATACAAGTCCTTCGGTTGATCTCTTACCCCTCCTCCCTCCTGCCCCCAACCCTCCCTGGCTTACCCGCTGCAGTTTGACAATCAGTTTGAGGCAGCTCTGCCTCTGTATCTATTATGGTTCAAAAGTTTGTAATGGTCTTTATTATCCATGAATGAGTGAGATCATGTGGTATTTTTCCTTCATTGACTGGCTTGTTTCACTTAGCATAATGCTCTCCAGTTCCATCCATGCCGTGGCAAATGGTAAGAATTCCCTCTTTTTTACAGCAGCATAGTATTCCATCGTGTAGATGTACCACAGTTTTCTAATCCATTCATCTGCTGATGGGCACTTAGGCTGTTTCCAGATCTTAGCTATGGTGAATGGTGCTGCTATGAACATAGGGGTGCACATATCCTTTCTGATTGGTGTCTGCCCGAAGGTCTGAGACTCCCAGGAGTGTGTAACATCTCACAACTAAAGGGCTTAAAAGTCTCAGCTGCCCGGCCAGCGTGCTCAGAGTTGAGCGTCCAACCTATGAACCAGGAGGTCACGGTTCGATTCCCAGTCAGGGCACATGCCACGAGTTGCAGGCTCCATCCCCAGTAGGGGGCGTGCAGGAGGCAGCGGATACAATGATTCTCTCTCATCATTGATGTGTCTCTCCCTCTCTCCCTTCCTCTCTGAAATCGATAAGAATATATATATATATATTTAAAGGAAACTTATTGGCTCTGGGAACTCCTCAGGTCTTGCTGCTAAATCATTTGCATAGTGTTAAACCATGTCTCGGGCTCGGCCAGGACTTCTGGGAGCTCGACCCCAAG